GTGTGTGTGTGTGCGGCTGTATGTCTGTGCAGAGTGATTCCTCGATAACGGTAGCACGTATGGTTTTCGATTATTAGAAAATTAAAAAAAAAAAATTTTTGTGTGTATAGTGATTTCTCGATAAGGATAGAACGTATCGTGACGCGGGAGAACTTATTTTGTTCGTTATGATGTAAGGATGAAGCCTGAAAACTTGATTAAGCGATAAATGAAGAAAAAAAATTGTTTTTTTTGATTTTCAAAAATTAAAAAAAAAATTTTTTTTTTTTTTAGATAAATCTTTACATCAAAATTGCCGTTCAAACCCCAAAAATCAAAGCCATCAAAGTTGCCGAATGATATTAATATTTTCAAATTATTTTTAAGTTAAAAAAAAAGTATGAGGAAGCTACTTGCCAATACATTGGCAGCGGTTTTTATATTTTGTTTCGTGTTAATCTTGAAATCACTCGGTCCCATCTATTCTATCCAATTTATCTATTCTATCTATTCTATCCCATCTATCCGAGGCCCCATCACACACGGAACAGCTTGGTGCGTTCTCCTCCTTGTTTTCCTAGTGGCAGCGAATATTACGATTGAATATCCCTATTACTTCGCCATTAAGGGCTAACAGGGGGCTTAATTATTTTTCATTTTTCAATAACAGTACTAGGCTGTAAAAGTGAAAAAAAAAATGTTTTTTTCAAGAACACACATGATAACCTTTTTCAAAACCCTATTTGAAAGTATTTTGTCCAGTTAGATAGTTAGAAGCAATTGAGTACAATACTAATAAGGGTATTGGTCCTCAACGCAAGCTATACGCATATCTAAGCTACCTGTCGTAGAAATCCAAGAGCAAGCATTAATCGATGGTACCCCAATTGATTTCATTTTGTTTGATAGCTAATTGGCCATGGTCGCAACCAAAAGCTAGCCATAAGATAAACTGTAGCTACTTGTATGTACAAATTTCTAAAATTTTGTATTCATTTTTGATCATTTTCCATAAATTAATTTCACTTTGCTATATGTACAAGTAGCTACAGTTCATCTTATGGCTAACTTTTGGTTGCGACCATGGCCAATTGGCTATCGAAAAAAAATTAAACCAATTGGGGTACCGTCGATTAATGATTGCTCTTGGATTTCTACGACAGGTAGCTTAGATATGCGTATAGCTTGCGTTGAGGATCAATACCCTCATTATTATTGTACTCAATTGTTTCTAACTATCTAACTGGACAAAATACTTTCAAATAGGGTTTTAAAAAGGTTTATCATGTGTGTTCTAGAAAAAAACATTTTTTTTACTTTTACAGCCTAGTACTGTTATTGAAAAATGAAAAATAATTAAGTCCCCTGTTAGCTCTTAATTCTGACGAGCATAGTAAAAGTTCATTGTGTTCTGTATGTCTTTGATGTCTACGTACTCGTCCGATTCGTTATTACTGCTGTTTTCTTCGCCGTTATGTTCCTCCTCTTGTAAAAAAGTCATGAAATTCCTGCAGGAATTTAGCGCTTTTCTGTGGGATTTCTACTGAATTCAGTCCGCACATTTAGGTAGTTTATTAGCGTTGTATATATTGTGACGGGAAATATATCACATATATTCCCCGACACAACGATACCTTCGATACTCGCCTGGCTCGAGAGATCGCGACTAATGTACACACATTCACACACACACACATAGACAAGATCATCAAGAGAGCCTGGCATAGCCAGGACACTTTGGCAGGTCGATACGTCGATACTCCTAATTTATCGATAACTACACATGCGCACTAACGAAATTCGCAAGGAGGAGAACACATTCGAATTCGTGCCTGTGAAGAGTCACCTCGGACTCGGCGCTCTCTCTCACAATCAGGCCTTTGACTAGTCCACATCGCTCACACTGGTAATGTCTCTGGAGAAGATCTCCAATTCAAGGTGTCGCTTGCCATCCTGCCACCATGCCAACCAACATCGGGTGGACCTGGGACCGTCGTCGCCAAAGAGGCTGGCCAGCGATAATTTAAGTACACAAACACACTAACTATCTCTCGAGCCATATCGGTATTCGCGTAGTAAAATCATATCGTAGTTAATCGGATTCTTTTGCCATCGACATGAACTCGCGTCCCCGAGATTATATTCGTTGAGTCTGCATGCTTTACATGCAGTGGCGCCCCGAGCACACTTTGTAAATTTATAATTCAATTTAATTTCTTTATGCAATATATTTTACAATATTATTTAAACGTTAATCCTTTGTCTTATAATTTGTTCACCTCGCCCAATTTATCCTCACAATATATATGGGCTAAGTCATAGTTGGTGTGATGATCAAAAAAATTTTTTTTCTTCAATTATGTACTTTTGAAGAGTACATTGAAAAGTAAAAATCTTGAAAGTTTTAGCCTTCTAGGTCCAACCCTATTGGATTTTCAGGGCCTCAACGTTTAATTTTTTTTTTCTGCTGATATTCTGCTGGCAATTCTGCTTTTCTGGGGTTAATATGAAAAAATTTTTGAAACATGGTTTTGATGTAGAATTTGATGTAGAATTCAAATTTGTACTTAAAAATTATATATAAAACTTCAAAACCCATTAAAATGTTATTTTCAGGCATTAATCTTGTCACTGTGCAAAAATAAATGTGTTCGTCTCCTTCGATTAGGCCAACATTGTAATATATGTTCATTAATTAATACATCAAAATACAACTTCTGATAAATTTTGGTTATTGGCAGACCAACAGAATTCATTATTGAGCTTAATATGAGTCAAGAATCAAGAAAAATTAGAGAAATACCATGTTCAATTGTACAAAAAACTTCTTATAATGAATACAATATTTTCACCACTGCCAGGACGATAAATTGATCAAAATAAAATAGGTCCCGCGTTTTGTTACTTAAACTTAAGGTTACGGCAAACGAAATTTTCGTTTGAAACTCTTCGCTCAAAGATCTAGTTACGAGTACTAATTACGAATATTTTAGCCAACTATGTAATGGCACATTGAAGAATGTGCGTTGACTTGGTCGTTTTTCCTTGGAACGAATGTGTCTACGTGTGCGTGATAAAAGTGTATTAGTCAGTCATGATCCATCGACCCATAAGATGAGGTATCGTTGTGACGAGTTGTCATGTCATAAAACAAACTCGAAAACTACATCTTTTTGGTTCTAAGCTCACGAAAATACTATTAACTCTCTACATAAATCATCAGCGAGCGAATTGAAAATGATATCGTCAATATTTCTCAAACGTCTGTCTCAGGAAATTTTAAACTTCTAGGAGATAAATTTGCATTTCTTAGATATTAGGTTTACAAAAAGTATGTTTGTGTTTGGGTAGGGCTCTTTATAAATGGCAGTATAAAGTAACTACTTATTTATTTAGGTACCATATATATTCATGTAGAAAATAGACGTATCATTACATTGATACAGAGCGTTATTTTTTTTTTCATTTGAGAGAAATACGACATTTTTTTCAACTATCTATTCAAAAATAATTGACGGTAATAATAAAGAATCAAAGTTCGAAATTGAAGGCTTGAATTCGAATTTCTTTTCTAATACATAATAAATACATTTTTGATTATAAATTACTCGGAACAAGTAATAAATTACATGTTCTCAAAATGTCAGGAAAAATGTAGTATGAGATTTAGGTATGAAATTAACATTTCATTTTTACTTATTGTCGGATGCCCGTTAAATATTTGAATGATATATGCATGATTTATCATATTATATATTATATATGATTTATCATATCATATTATAATATTAATTTGAAATAACTGTTAATATTTTTTATCATTTATTCAAATGTACAAAAAATCTTTAAAACTGGAACTCTTGAAAATAAAACTCATGTCATCAAATGTACAGAAATCACGCATCACCCTTTTACACTATTTTTATGATTTCAAAGCAATAATTTGATATGATTTTGAAGATCGTCTAATCACTGGGCGAAATTTCGATTTTATATTTCTAATTTTTTATTAGAAAGAGTGATAATCAATTGTCCATTATTGCATTAAACTGCATTTACTTTTATTTATTCGTTGACTACTGGCAATGAATATTTCTACGAGAATATTATAAAGAATGATATCCTTTTAAACGTTATATTCGAAATAATAGAAAAAAGTTATTCCGATATATTTATCAAGAGTTATTGTTGTATTGATAATATCTAAAAGTTTAATTATATAATGTGTCACTTATGATATTCTGTGACAATTGTTTATATTCGTTGGAGTGGCTTATTGTCACTTTGTACAAACAATTTATTTTCATAGATTTAGGGTGTTTTTCGGGATAAAGATAATATTCAAAATGTATAATTATTTAAGTATTACTAATTTGCTTTTAGATTATACGTATCTTAAAAATGCTAAGCAAAGCTTCTTATTTTTTATAAATAATAAAATATAATTTCAGACCATTTTTAAAGAATAATTAAATCTTTTTTTTTCACATAGAAAACGTATTTGAGAATTGTACAAGCAGCTTCAGTATATAATTAAAAAAACATGAGTTAGAAACGAATCTATAATTTATTTCGACCCTAATATGAATTTTTGATGATCTTCATCGATAATATTAAGATTGTTCTCTTCGATGATCTTAAAATTAATAATTATTGATTAACAGGGTTTAATATTTTCAACCATTTATATGCAAAGCATCTAAAATACTTATCTTTCTAAAAGATTTAATATTAATAATTACTCGATAAAAATCGAAACGTTCATCACGCTTAAATTTACGAAAAAATGATAATGTTAAATATAATTCATATTCATTGGAAATTAATTTAGAGAAAATGTATTTCTTACATTTTGGAATATTAACGCCATTATTAATTTTTTGGTTGCTACAAGCTAGTTTTATAAGGGCATACATGAATATTGAACGTTAGAAAATGATAACTGCGCGCGCAATGTCCATATCTTACGTTCTTTACCTGTTTCGGCAGTTAAACGTTACTGCCTAATGAGAACACTAGTATTTTAAGTTCGTCAAAAGATAAACTGAAAATTCTTTCAAAAGAATGTAAAAAAAGAATATTTGAAACTATTACTTCATTTAAAAATATCACTATTTCACGCAAAATTTCAAAATAGACTAAATCGTTAAAATATTGTTAAAGCTAAAGAAAAGTGATTCAGTATGAAAAGTTCGTTAAAAATATAAAATTTAATCATCATTAATAATCATATCAGAAATTTAATTCTAATATAATATGAAATCAAAGAAGTAGTGAAAAATTCTCTATACCTATATTATGAGAAACATTTTTTATAAAAAATAGTTTATCATTAACGATAATTATTATTTGTGTCAAATAATGATTCGAAATAGTATATACAACTTCTCATGTTAAAAAATATTTACAGTACATTAAAATTTTGAAAGTTACTCATTATTACTTTTGAACCCTAAAAAAATGTTGTTAAACTTATGATTACGTAAATAGCTATTCATCAGAAGTGCTCAGAAAAGTAGTGTATTAATCATTGGCCTCGATTCAAAAGTTCTGAGATTATAAAGAACAGCATGAATATGCATCGTCAATGGAATGTACACATTTTTTCCATCATAATTGTTTTCATAGCAATGATATTCTTTAACTCCGTTATTACTACGAGTCTTCAACCTTTGACAAATCCGACGTCAAAGTTAGTTTCTAATTATGTAGAAAAAACATCAGTAATTAATGGAAGTGATAAAAAAAATGAAGCAATTACCCTTACAGATATTGTGAGAACCTTAAAAGAAAATCACTCAGTGCATTTAAATGATATTAATGGTAGTTTACACCGTCACCACCATAAAAGTGGAAACTTCAACGTCGTTGATGAAAAGACTCCATTGTTTCCCACCGATCTTTTTAGTCTTGAAGAAAGGCGCCAAGGAGCTGTCATTTTACATGTTCTTGGAGTAGTCTACATGTTCGTGGCATTAGCTATTGTATGTGATGAATTTTTTGTACCGTCTTTAGACGTTATTATTGAAAAATTGAATATCGCTGATGATGTTGCTGGCGCAACATTTATGGCAGCTGGAGGCTCTGCTCCGGAATTATTTACATCTATAATTGGAGTATTTGTGTCATTTGATGACGTTGGAATTGGAACTATCGTTGGTTCAGCTGTATTCAATATTTTATTCGTAATTGGCATGTGTGCAATATTTTCAAAAACAGTTTTATCTTTGACTTGGTGGCCTCTTTTCCGTGATTGTACTTTTTACAGTGCCAGTCTCTTAACATTAATTTACTTTTTTAGAGATAATTATATTTATTGGTATGAAGCATTAGTTCTATTTGGATTTTATTTAGCATATGTAAGTTTTATGAAATGGAATAGACCCATGGAAATGTTCGTCAAACGAATCCTTTTTAATAAAAAAGTCACAAGAGTAAGATCCACCGATCAATTGATGCCTACGGTAAGAAATTTTATGAAATATTTTGAAATTCGTCAAGATTTAATTGATGTCATTCATTTTTATCATCCATATAATAATTCAAATATATAAGTTCGTTAATTTGTGCACTCAAACGGTCCAAGTCATTAAAAAAAATTTAAGTAATAATTTAATAATACCTTATAAGGCAAAAGATATACGAAACATTTTGCCAAATGGAAAAACGATAAATAGAGAAAAGCCATATCAACCGTGTAATATTCAAATGGACATTGAAAATATATTAAAAAATATCAATTCCCAAAATTTGGGCTCTCCAGGCCCTGTTTAAAAATATTAGCTTGGTTTCTACATGCAAAACCATAAGCAAATCTCCTATCCAAAAGGAATATTAATTTATTACCACCTTCCCAATAAATAAAAAGGAGTCTAATAATATCAAACAACCACATACATCCCATCAAAGGTGAGAGTTTAAATATATTTATTTGATATCGCTATTTTCCCAATTGTCCGACACAGAGGGCAAGGGTACCAAGAGCTATACCTGATATTTAATCAAAACAGAAGCATAGGCCTGTATGCTATTTTTCATACCCAATGGCCTGAAAATTGCTCTTCCCGCTTTGCGCAGGGTTAGAGAAGTAGTCACTTTCAAGACGCATTTATGAGAACGATTTTTTCTCCTCCTCGACGAAAAGTTGTCCATGCATTGATTATTTAAGGGGACACATACACCTTAAACTCAAAAAATTTTTTATTGAATTGTTAAGTAGGATTTTTCCTTCCCTTTCCATTGCCTTTTTCGAAATTTCAAGATTTTGATTTTGCATTGAGATACAGCTATTTCCGTGAGCCTTTTTCCTATATTTTACGTGTTAAATTTTTTCTTCTTTTGTGTTTTCTGGCAAGTAGTGTTTTTGGTCATCTATCGCAACTTTCAGAGGGTACCGATTAAGCATCGGCGCCACTGCCGCGTACACTTCTTCAGAACATCAATGGTTACGGTCACTACCTCGGATGAGACGATCGACCCAATAGGTCACTCTCAAACAGTACTTTTATGACTTAAATTTTGGTAAAAACGAAAAATGAAAAAAAATGTGTGCTTAACTGTTCATTCAGAGCAACCTGTCTGTTAGATCGTCTCCTCTGAGGTAGTGACCGTAAACATTGATGTACTGAAGAAGTTTACGCGACCCTGGTGCTGAAGATCAATCGGTACCCTTTGAAAGTTACGATAGATGGCCAAAAACACTACTCGCTAGAAAAAACAAAAGAAGAAAAAATTTAACACGTAAAGTATAGGAAAAAGGCTCACGGAAACAGCTGTATCTCAGAGCAAAATCAAAATTTTGGAATTTCGAAAAAGGCAATGGAAAGGGAAGGAAAAATCCAACTCAAAAATTCAATAAAAAATTTGTTGAGTTTGAGGTGTATGTGTCCCCTTAAATCATTTATATAAATCTTTAGAGGGCAGGAAAGCCAATACATTGGCTTACCTCCTGATCGACCCTTTATCCATGATCGGTCAATGATTTAAGATACCTTTTAAGACGATTTTCTATTGATGATATGACTTCTGAAATCCTGGATCTATAAATGTTAAAAGTATACTGATATAATTTATTGTTATTCACCGAAATTGTAGCTAATGTTAAGTTTCTTTTTATTTAGAAAAAGCGGGACCGCAGTGGCATTCCTGATGGAGGTGCAGGAGGCGAAGGCTACAAAAAAATACTATTATAAACTTTAAACAACAAATTTATACTATATCTAACTCAGATCAATTCTTACTTAAGACTCACAAATTTTGACACTGTAGTTAAAATACGTCATCTACTTTTTTACCCTCTTACCATAAGTACTTCGTGTTGATAGTCGATTGAATGTAAAGTTATAGTTCCGTTCTACTGTTGTCATGTATTCGTTCATAAAACAGCATCCAGCTATCAATCAGAAAATATGTACACAGAGAAGAGTCCATTGCAGTAAGCTAAAAAATCCCCGTTTCTGCCAAAAATTAACAGTAGCAAGCGACCTACACCACCTTGTAGAGAGGTCGGTGAGAACATGTGGGTGAGTTTCGTTGCGATTTGGACAATTACTTTTTTTATTAATAAAAAATAAAAAAATTAGTGTAGGGTTTTTGGTTTTTCAAATAAATATTGGAAAATAAAACAGCTACAGCAATACTCTCGTGAGAGAAAATTAAATTACCTTTCTAGCGCGAAAAATTGGGAAATGTTCGAAAAAACGTGATTTCCTTCAATTTTTGAATCTAAGAAGCAATATTTAGCAGAAAGGTAGCTCTTGTTATATAGAAAAACTATGCAAAACTAAATTTCTGTGAGACTTACTGTTTCTGAGATATTCGATTTTTTTCGAAAAATCGCACCTTCATTTTTTTTCATACAAAATCTTTAAAACTTTACTTTTAAAATTTTTGCAATGAATTTGTAAACTAGAATGTTTATTTTATAAAACGAATATTCCATTTTTGACATGGGAAACTATTAAAAAAGACACCAAATATAGCCCATTTTTGCGAAAATTTGCTTGATTATGCCGTCAGGAGTGCTAGTGCAACACTAGTGTGACACAATTGACGCAGGCTCATGTCTCCAGCTTCCCCACCAACGGCATTTCCCTATTTCCCTATTTTTCTCGGAAAATACTTATCCAATCGGAATGCAACAAAATTCGTTAGAAAGATAATAAAATTCCCTACATTTACTTTTGCGAGAGCATGACTGTAGCTGCCTTAGTTTCCAATATATATTTGAAAAACCGAAAACCTAACTATAATTTTTTCGTTTTTTGTTAATCCCAGGTAAAATAGAATATTAGATCTGATATAAGTTCTGGTAAACGCACATCAGATCTTATGCCAGATCTTATATCAAAATTTGCATACGATAATCGACATTAGAACTTACATCAGATCTGAAGTGACTGTGAAGCCTTTAATTATTTAAACAATAAGTTTATGAATAATTAAAATTTAATAACAAATCTTAAACAATAAAAGTTATCGAATTAATTTAAATTCACTTTATCAAAAAGCCAAACATTTTTATCTTTTTTCTTACCTTTTTTTTTTATCTTTTTTTTTTTTTATCTTTTTTGGGAGGGAATATTCTTAAAGATATTATCAATATGATTATTAAAATACGACTAAATTTATTATTAAATTTTAATTATTAATGAATTTATAGTTTTAACAATTAGGAGCGAAATAGTCATTTCAGATCTGACATTAAATCTGGTGTCAGATCTGATTAAGTTCTGATGTTGATTATCGTATGCAAATTCTGATATAAGATCTGGCATAAGATCTTATGTGCGTTCACCAGAACTTTTATCAGATCTGATATCGGATCTACAGTCAGATCTAACATACCATTTTCACCTGGGATAAAAAAAAATCTCTACGAAACTCACCTGCATGTTCCCATGCTTGCTGCTATTAATTTTTGACAGAAAAAATCTATTTGCACTGGAGTATTGGTCGATACCTGTACCATGTCATATACTACTGTTACTATTGCCGCATATTTTGTACTCTTAGGTACCTCCTTATACTTTGTTGCTTTAACATTTTCGAATTAAACGGTCGATAGTGTACATTTAATAATAAATATAGCGTCACGTTCATGTTTGATAGCTACTTCTAGCTTTCTAACCAAAAAATAGTATGCCATTTGAGCATTCTTGTATTGATGGTACGTTTTCAAAACCGTCTTTTGTGAAGTTAAGTTGCTCGTATATGGATGATATCGACTAAAATGGTGTTTTCAAGTCCCAAAATGGTCCTTAAAAAAATAACCGGTTTGGAAGTTAATAAAGGCGGCTTTTTGTTTTTCAACCGACCAAATAAGAAATTGTAAACGGGCAAAGCATATATAGCAGGTTCAATAAAGAGGAAATAACACGGTAATGACATGGAATGGTACTGATATGTGGCCTAAAAACCTTTTGAAAATTGTGAGCTTACTATTGATCTAAACACCAACGAAAACTTCCCTAGATATAGGTATTCTGAAAATATTTGCTGTATTAGAATGTCAAAAAAATCTACTGGCTGCTCTGCAGCAGCTGAAACGGTAATGAACAAAACTCACACTATTGCAACATTTCCTATATAAAAATAGTTCAAAATAAAACTTTAAATTTTCAAACATTTTCAGTTAATAGAGAGTGTTCAAACGAAGGTTAACCACTCTGTCCCGTTTCCATCGAATGTTTTTTACTGGTTCTGTGACCATCTAAGTAAAGAGGTTGCAAAAAGTCACCACTACGAAAGTGGCTTAAAAAAGTCGAAGTGGCACTTTTGGGGTATCGTTTAACCGAAAAAACGTTGGTTCATAGGACATGATGTCCCGTAGTTTATTTTTATCAATGTAGAGTCATAAAACACTTTGAGCAAAATTATACAAATTGACAGGCACAGTAATTACAAAATAGGCCTATTTTGTGGGAAAAAGCATCAAAAAGTTCATTTGATCGGGTAGGAATGGATTCTCAATTAAAGTGGACAAAAAAACAAACATTTTAATATAAATTAATGTACCAAAACATTCAACTATTGCCGTGTAGATTTCACCTGCATACGCTCACACAGTAGCGCTGCATCGACCCAGTCGTGGTCAGCTCCCAATAGTGACCGCTCCGCAGTCGGTAAATTCGATTTTCATGCTTGTTACGTATATATGTAAAGAAAACTTAGTTTCTTTAATGTATAATTGAGGCGCTGTATCAGTTGTGCGCGCCTCATATAAGTTTGTAAATATTATCCGTATGAGTGTGTAAGACGAATGAGTCTGAATTGTCAGTTGTACACATGTGTTTAAAGAGAGTGGTCAATTAGCTTTAATTGTCGTTTCTCGTATTTCAGGTAAGAGAGGTTTATAATTGTAAATATAGTTTTAAGAATTTTTAATAAACCTCAACTCGTATTTCAGAAACAAAATTTAGTTAATTGCTCACACACCCCCCCTCTCATAGTGGATCTCACTCGTGTCTTATAAAACGACAATTTCGCTCAATTGCTAACAAAAAATAATGTCGAAAATACAATTCGAACTTCACGTCGTGGCCTCGCCAGCTGACTCGAAGACAAACACGGTCGAAGTTATGAGTATAACGCTGGAGAACGGTGATAAGTACGAAATACCAGAAGATTATACCAACATTGGCAGCCATGCAGAGCTGAAGAAAATAAAAACTTTCGAACTTTGGAGACAGGCTGCTAGGAGACATGACGTAGGCAATATTTGGTTCTTGCTAACACAGGAGCTGAGAGACACATATTTTGATGAGGTCGGTAACGTAGTATACAAAAATCACTTTCTCAGCAAAATTAAGGAGACGAAAAGTGAGGAAAACGATATTGATTTAAAACAGTTGATAGAGCAGATGATGCGCTTGAATTCAAAAAAAAATAACCCGAAAGATTTGAAGAACATTTCCGAGAAGTTCTTGCTAGAGAAATTTACGAGTAGAACAGGAAATGTCAAACAATGGGTTGAAACATTTGAAAAGGAATGTATAAGATTTGACATTTTGGAGGATGACATGAAAATCGAGTTATTGAGATTACTGTTGGATAAATCATGCACAGATTGGTATTTCGCTACAGTGGAAAAATTAGATCACGAGAGAGTTTGGTATGATTGGAAAAAAAGACTCTTGGACACGTTTGCCGACAAAGGATGGAATTCATGGAGGTACGCGCTGTCGTTCCGATACAAGGAAGGTCTG